ACCAACTATATACATATATTATATTTAGATGCATAAATTAGTATTGTTAATGAAATTCAGACATTTTTTATTTTCAGCTACCAAAATTTCTTTAGTTACATAATTCCATATAAATATTCCCCTGTAAGTGGATTTAAAAAAATACTACAACATTTTTACAATAATAATGACCAGCAAGTATTCACAGAAAAAATTTAAATCATTATAGGTTTTTGTAAAGTATATAAACTTTATGTATTTAGAACAAGCACGTCAAAATGTTTCCAAAATAACCATAGTAAGAAAATGTTTGTGTATTTTTTAGCTACTACTACCAGCTTTGTACATTATGTGTAAGTCCTAATATATATATATAAATAAATTAATGTAATTTATGACATTCAGAGATGTTTTACTTTTGCTGTTTTTATTGTCAGCTACCAAAATGTCTCTTTAGTTACAAAGTTTCATACTAATATTCCATATTAAGTGATTTAAAGATGTATGATACAGAAACAGATTAAATTGTTGCACTAACATCCAATCCACCACAAGCGCCATCTATCAATTGTCTTTGGCCAGTGAACCACAGACCCTGCCACACTGCAGTAATGCAAGCATTACAAGTTACTCTGTACTCTAAGTTTACAGAAAAGGTGTTTCAGAGATCTACTTCAAGACCACCTCTCAATTCTCAGAGCCCCAGATCAGCACAGCTGCAGGGAGTGGTTCCAATCAGAGCACAAAAACTAAATATTCCCGCGAAGATCAGGCTAACAATGAGGCTAGGAAGGATGCTGGAAGGATACTAGGAAAACAAAAAGGATAGTAACCTAGGAACCAAAGAAAACAAAAAAGAGGAGAAGAAAGCGCTGAGTCTGGAGAAAAAGCCACCTCAGGTCAGGTGATTAACTTGGCCAATCAAGAACATTCCACTTTTTGGGCCTGAAAAACACCATAGTTGCTTCAGCAGTATGTTTGGGGTCATTGTACTGCTCTGCTGCAAAGTGAAGCGCAAGTTTTGAGGAATTTGGTTGGATCTGAGCAGATAAGATTCTTTCATTTCAGAATTAATCCTGTTGCTGCCATCAGCAGTAGCATAATCAATAAAGACAAGTGAGAGGCAGTTCCACTGGCAGCCATACATGCCCAAGCCATGACACTATCTCCACCATGTTTCACAGATGAGGTGGTATGTTTTGGATCATGAGCAGTTCCTTTTTTTCCTCCACATTTTCCTCTTTCCATCACTCTGGTACAGGTTAATTATGGTCTCATCTGTCCATAGGACTTTGTCCCAGAACTCTACAAGCTTTTTAGCAAACTGTAACCTGGTCTTTCAGTGGTTTGCATTTTGTGGTGAACCTTCTGAGGTTTTGATGGTATATTCTTCTCTTTATGGTAGTCTTTGACACATCTATGCCTACATCCTGGAGAGTGATCTTGATCTGTTCAACAGTAGAAAAGGGATTTTTCTTCACAATTCTTCGATCATCCACTACTGTGGTTTTCCGTGGTCTTCCAGCTCGTTGGCTATTGCTAAGCTCACCGGTGCATTCTTGCTTCTTAATGTACCAAACAGTTGATTTTGACACACCTAATGTTTTGGCTATGTGTCTGATTGATTTACTCAATGTTTGTTCAAACATAAAGGTCAAAAGTTAAAAACACCAAAGAGAGTTGAGAGGATAGAAGTAAACGTAAGTTAGTCTTGCATAATATGCTAAAGTTTAACATAGTTATATCAACTTGGTACAAGGGACAGACAGACTGGACAGGGGATTAGAGCAGCTCCATGAAGTGGAGCCCCCCCTACAAATGGCACAAACGAAGAAACCCACCACATTTATTAGTGCTCTGTTTGTGCTGCTTTCATTTCCAACATATAGTGCCTTGTTTTTTTGGGGGTATGACGTCACTCTGCCCCCTACAATGTCACAGGAAAACCGAACTGGTGTGATTTGTTTGTGCTGTATTTGTGCAGTTGAAATTAAGATACCCAGCTGCTTTCGTTGTCCAGATCTATCGCCTTATTTTTTCAGGGTGTGACATCACTCAGCCCACCTGCAACATCATAGGAGAACCGGACTGGGCTCATTCATTAGTACTGCATTTGTGCAATTGAAAGTAGCTTCCCAGCTGTTGTCGTTCTTGTGTTATACCGCCTTCTTTTTCGGGTAATCACATGATCATGTACGGCAACTTTGACCTCCAGTGACCCCGTCTATTAAGATCAAGCACTCTGTTACTGGTACAAGGATAATAATGTCTGCAATTTTGTTTCGCTGTTTGCCCAGGATGGCATTTGATTTTGTATTTAATACCAATGTCTTCTGTGCTTTTGTTTGAACAAGAAAATTAAATTTGTCTCCAATATCATACCCTAATCAGAAGAGTTGCGGGTTTAACCTTTAAAGGCGAACACTGGCAAACAATTGCATGTTCTTAAAATGGCTTTAACTAGCATGTTTTAATATTTCATAGCAGTGTCCTTTTTGTAAATCTGATGAAGTAGCAGTTTCACATTGTGTTCTCCTTAAACAAATAAGCAAATCAAAGGACATTTAAAGAATTGACCCATCTTTCAAGCCACGTATTTAAAAAGGTTAGAATTAGTGAATTCCTATATTACAAGACCATAGTTTTTACATCTTTTTATACCATTTATAAGAAAATTTATAAATGTAAAAAAGAACCAGGATTTTTGTAAGGGGCACTGTGTACAAAGTTGAGCCACGTAGTTCATAACACATCAGTTGCAAGCTCTACCGTCTCACACATGCAGACCACATAAATATTGGAAATTTATTTTTATTTTCAGATAACATAAATGACCCAGGACACGTTTGCTTGTCCAGTTCCTTTAATTCGCTCCCGTCACACAAACAGCACAATCACTGAAAGCCACTGCATTCCTAAGTGATTCATTTGTGCTAGTTGTGTCGTTGAAAGTTGCGTTTGTGCATCTTTCGTTATCAAGATATACAGTAGCATCTTGTTATTTCGGGTAACCATGTGATTGTCTATAAGGAAACTGCAAGTCAACACACTCAGCTTATTGGTTCTTAAGGGGTACAACATGTTTGCCAGTTATCACTGATTAGTAGGTATCAATGACTGAACGATTGATAGGTAGTAACAGTTATCATAATCAAAGCAATACATCACATTGTTGGATTCCTATGGAAAGTCAAAACTAAAGGTTTTAATGCAGAAGATTTCTGATTCCAGTCTAACTCAAATAAATAGATCTGTCTTTTGAGATGTCATCTTTATAGTAGTGGTGTACTTGCACTGCTGCAACATCAGCTACAGCTCCACTTATACTCCTGTACTAGTGTTTGTCTAGAGTATTAACTCTTTACATCCTTCATTAACCAAAAGGCCATATTTCCTTGAAATTCACAAATCAAATTTAAAAACATACATTATTGCATTACTAATACATAAAGTGAGTTAAAATATATTGGTGTATATACCTCTAGGCAATAGGATGAAAAATCGTTAAAATAAAACAAGGATTAATATTAAAATTATTTTAATTATTTAAATCATACTTTAATGGAAAATTAAATCAATTTACACAACACTCATCAGGATTTCTGTAATTAAATAACCATGTGAATCTCTCCAGAAGAACCATAGATAACTAACAGTGTAAATGTTGAGGCATATTTGAAATATAAACAATATAAAGATATGAATTTGGTAATGGGTACAGGGAATTAATTTGTCCATGTAGTCTGCCCAACACTGACAAGACTGTCTAGCAAATAAAGACACATAAAGACCGTCTTTATATACGTATAGCATCCTGTGTGATGTACATAAAGTCCTCAGTCAGAATGTTATATAAGAATAACTGAGAGAAAGGATCTTTTAGAACTGCTTAGATGCCTCTGCCAGTAGCATAGTCTCTATGCATTTGCTTGAATAATTAAATAATAGCTGTTTGATGTATTCATATTACTCTTTAGAAATTAACTTACTTTCACTTGCATTCACTCCATGTTCCATACACTTTTGTTTCCTTACAGTCTTGGTGATACTGAGAGGAGTCTTTGAGAATGTGTGCTGCTGTTTGTGGGTTGGATCCTATGGTTCCTGTAAGGGCAAAAACAAGATAATTTTTTTATCTTGTTGCTAGAAACAGAATAGAAGCCATGTCAGGACCGCTGGCAAGGGTGTGTTCTTTGGCTGCCCAGTAGAGCCATAGGCCTGTAACATATACATACACAGTGCATAGCAAACGTATCCAGACCTTTCAATGGTGTCTTCTTTCATGAAATTATAAAATAATGTATACATATTTTTTAAACTAAGTCCTTTATTAAAAACCTGAATGCTCAAACAGTAGACTTTTAAGGGTAAGTAATATGTTACAATAAATAGCAGCAAAAAATAAAAAGAAAAAAAACTGAAATATGCTGATTCTACAAGTATTCAGATCCATGACCATGATCTAATATTTGTTGGAACCAACTCTGGCACAAAGTAGTGATGTTGCTGACTGAGAGATGCACTACAGTATATAATGATCTGCATTTAAACCAAAAACCAACAAAAAATCTATTTTCGCTTGTCTAACCACAAAACCTTTTGATATGTTTACAGTATCACTTAGATGCTTTGTTGCAAACTCCATATGGAATATTAGATGTGTTTTTTTTTCAGTTCTATACAAGTCCCCTTTATGGTGCAATCGGTATCATATTGTTGAACCATGGATATTTTTTCACACTCACTCTTACATCCCTGACCAGTTTCTACCATGCTCTGCTGCTCAATTCAGGGGGACAGCCAGATTAAGTGATTGACTTTACCAATGCTTAAAGAGATTCTAAAAATCCTTGAAAAGTTTTTATACCTTTTTATACCTACAAATTCATCCTGGGTTTTTAACCCTTTGGAATTCACTGTTGAACCATTGCTTGAAATTCTCTACTGAAAAGGAGACTTTACAGAGTATATTTACTCTTAAAGCATACAAAACACTGTTTATAACACACAGAGGCTACTGAACTCATTGTGTAGCTAAAGTAATCTTAAATTAGGTTTGCCATAGCAAACTTATGCAATCTTGATTTTTCCATTGTTCTTTCATATGAATTATCGATTTACTTCTTTCAATTTGTTTTGTGGCTCAAATGTGTGTAACAGGTTGTGGGAATAATACATATTTATTGCTACTTTAAAGTGTCATGAATATAATTAATTAATAATAATAATAATTGCTAACACATATATAGCACTTTTCTGGACACTCCATTCAAAGTGCTTTACAGGTAATGGGGACTCCCCTCCACCACCACCAATGTGCAGCATCCACCGGCAGCCATAGTTCGCCCGAACGCTCACCACACATCAGCTATCAGTGGGGAGGAGAGCAGAGTAATGAGGGGGATTATTAGGGGGCCATGATTGGTAAGGGCCAATGGGAAATTTGGCCAGGACGCTGGGGTTGCACCCCTACTCTTTTCGAGAAACGCCCTGGGATTTTTAATGACCACAGAGAGTCAGGACCTTGGTTTTACATCTCATCCGCAGGACAGCACCTGCTTACAGTATAGTGTCCCCGTCACTATACTGGGGCATTAGGACCCACATGGACTGCAGGGTGAGCGCCCCCTGCTGGCCCCCTAACACCTTTTCCAGCAGCAACCTTAGTTTTTCCCAGGAGGTCTCCCATCCAGGTACTGACCAGGCTCACACCTGCTTAGCTTCAGTGGGTTGCCAGTTATTGCAGGGTGATATGTCTGCTGGCTATAAGCTTTAAAGCATCAAAATGCGTGAAGTGAAAAGTATTCAAAGGTGTGAATAATTTTACAAGGCACTGTAAGGGAACCAGGACCACCCATATACTTACACCAATTAGAATGGGGTGACATACTCATTTTGAGATCTGGGACTGTATAAACCATATAATAGCCAGATTACTTTCCTATATGAATTACAGACACAATGTGTAGGGACAAAGGGGAAGAATGGGTTTTAATGTAGCAAAGCAATTCGTTAAATATCACAAAATTGGACTAGTTATGAGCACTAACAAAGATGATGTTCTGAGCTGGTGGAGAGATACAGGAAGTTTTAAAACCAATGCAGAAATGTCAAATAGCAACAGTGCTGATATTTTTGTTGCATTAGCTGCTGAAAGAGCAATAACTCCTTTAGAGGGTAATGTAATGAGCAAACAGATAAGGTTATTGCTGCACAGAATATTCTGTTAAAGACGATACTAAATGGGAAAGAAATCAATGCAAAAAAGTAGAAATTACAATTCTAAGCAACAGTCATGAAATGCAGAAAAAAGTTGAAAAGGGAGACTCATTAAGAGACTCATTAAAAACAGGAACACAGACCGAGAAAGAATGTTCTTAAATCCATGGATTCAGAAAAGAAACAGGTACCTATGTTTCTGCAACTAAAGATGAGCACAAATGAAATTAACAGAAATGTTCCTGTGCTAAAGAAACAGAAACAGACGATAGCGATGATGACAATTCATTACTATATGTGATGACTTAGGAAAAGGTTAAATAACAAATGTGGGAGTCAGTTTTACAGTCCTGGTCATGACAAAGACTTAGCAATTTAGGGATTCAGACTGACATCTACAATATGTTAACCCTTACCATCAACATAGCAGAAGCTCTGTCTGAAATCCTCCGGCCTCCATAGTCAAAGGACACAATCATCACATAGAAAGAAAACTGCAGTATACGTTTTTTATAATGATTTAAAATGAAAGGCAAGACACAGTCAGCTGTATACTAACATGTTATGAATATTAAGCACATTCACATGCCTGGTTCACTGGTAGCCTGTCAAGAGTGACAGACATAAACAGGCCCTTTATAAAGGATTCTTTGGAACATTTGCTGAAAAAATGTGCACTCAGTGTATAAAAGATTACATTGGAGGCCAGTTACGTGAAATGCTATTTGATACTTGGGATTTGTTCATTCACAAATGTTCCCTTTAACCCCTCACAATTGAGAAAATTACAGTTACTCGAATAGAAAACACCAATATCACAGCAGCATGACCAGATTTTTACACATAGGCCTAGGGCCTTAGGGAGGTTCTAATGCATTTACCAAAAAATAGCAATGCGACTGTTCTTGGCATGGATATTACTGAAACGTATGCATTCATGGTACACTGTCCAGAACAACTTGATGAAATATAAGTCAAGGAAGTTAAAAGGATCCCAGTTAGGTCTAGATATGAAAATAAAATTATAGTGATGTCCTCGCAGTCATAAGCGAGCTAATAGAAAAGTACAATGAAGTGAGGCCACTGATAAATAGATAGAACACCCAATTCCCTTCATTAAGAAAACCAAATAAACCCTGAGGCAAGAAAAGTGGTAAAAGAAAATGAAAATATTACAATAAGTGCAAATATTACAATAAATAGAATCACAGATGTAACTCCACCACTAATTCACCAGCATGATCTGAGCGAAAGCCAGATGGATCTTGGTGTCATGCAATAGATTATCAAAATCTGAACAATGCACTTCTTAAATGACCCATGTTCAGCTATTATGACCCATTATTTTAACTAATCCAGCTACTTTACTGAGTGAAATGACAGATGTAAGCTGTTCCCAGTGTCAGATATGTACGGTGGATTTGGAGTCTTTCTTTACAACAAAAAGATGATGAGAAATGTGCTTTTATTGTTAAAGGAGAACAATATATCAGGAAACACACAGGTATATTTAATTTCTGCCACAGGAATTTCATAACAGCCCAAAAATATTTCACCAGGCCTTGATGCACTGAAACCATTGACAGCTACTGTTAATGATATATTGATAAGTACAGATCCCAACAAACAAAACATTATACTTGCAGGACTGGTTCTGAAAACATTATAGGATGCTGACCTCAAAAATGAAATCTGCACACTTGGCTCGTGATTAAATGCTTCATTATACCTTCCTTGCAATACACTGCTAGCTACATTGCTGAAAGTCACAGCAATGCAACAATGTTACTTTAATGAAGTGAAAAAAGGAAAAATATTTTCTTACAGTCATGTGCATAAGCTGCTGTGTAGTTGCCCAATATTTTGTTTACATTTTGTTCACCTTAATATAAATTTTATGTACATTTCCAACAAGATGATCCAAAGCATATTGCTGCTTATAATTTTAAAAAGAACTTAGAAATTATTGAAAGTGCTCCAATGTCCACCATAAAATCTGACAAGAGTCCCCATGAGACTGGGTATTTGACAATATGAGAAGAAACCCAGCAATCTTAACGTATTGAGGCAAAAAGGCAAAGGTCAGAAAACCAAAGTGAATTATTTCACAACATCTTTAGCAACTGCCAGATATACTGTATATGTGAGTTCAGACAACTACAATCATCTAATGTAAGCTATGCTGACTAGTTTCCTCTGAGTTTTTTAAGTTGGCTAATTAAGGTGAGTAATCATTGAAAGCTAAGTATTTGGTATAATAATGAACAGCCAGCAAATTATTAGTTTCAGTTTCAGTTTTTGAACAAAATACATGGATATGAGGAAGAATTTTAGCACTGAACTTTTTTAAAGTGTATAAGATAGTGACTAGTTGGCTTTGAAAAATGCTTTTTACCTAGCAACAATATGAAAGAACAATTGTAAGCATATTATTTGACTTTTTGATATTAATGGTACAACTGCAGAATGTCTAGCTAATTTCACACCTTTTATTTATATACTTCATTTTGTCTATATGCAAGGTAGAACTGCTTCTTAAGAAGAACGTGGTCAATTACAAAGAAATGTTTGTAGAGAGAAAAACAACTCCTAATATGGAAACTTAGAATGAGCTTTCCTGTGTGAATTTGCTGTATAAAACTCATTGCATTTATCATCTTGGTGGAGAGGTTACTTACAGATCTGTATGAGAGGCTGCTCTCAGGTCTGCATGATTATATCCTGCCCATGCGCATGTATAAAGGGACTCTGCTTGACCACACCTAACCTGAGTGAAGACTTTTCTTTGACAGATACAACCCAAATTCTTTTTTTATGTCTATAGGATTTCCTGAGGGTCCCTTTGGACAATTCTAAGAGTAAGAGTAAGCTGAAACTAAATTTGGATGGACTTTGGACTGAACAAGTTTTAATGCATTTGTTGTTTCTTCAGGGACTGCCACGCATTGCAGCCAAAGACTGCACACTGCTATTTTGCACTGTGCTGTTGCAAACCAGTCTTAAACACTCCAGATAAAACGCAAATATTGGGAAATCATCCAAAACCATTTCAGAATATGAGAAAGCACACAAATTCCAATCAAACAAGATAGCTGAAATGCAATTAATACTTTTATATTTTAATAAAATAAGTCCAAGGTATACGTGAACAAGCATCAGATTCTGCTTTTTAAGAGTAAAATGTGAGTTTATTTTTCTCTATAAATAAAGAAAAGTTGGCTTAGTTCAATTCACTGACCCCTGCACAAGCCTAAAATAAGTTGCATGACATTTGTTTTCATACTTCATGTCAAAGACTGCAATGAGTGCCAGCAGCATGGCTCAAGTACCCACCACACATCTGAGTGACACCACAGTGTCCTGATGGGGAGTGGATATCAACAGCATCCAAGCCAAGGAACAGCCAAGGAACCTGCAGACCATTCCCAATCATATTTGCAGACTGCAGGGAGTTTGTGTCAACAGTGAGCACTAACCAGAGATACATACAGTTATGGGGGGGGAGGGGACTTTCCATTACGATCTCCCTTAGGTTATTGCATTTATTCAAAGTTTTAGAAAAAATAATAAAACCTCCTCAAAATCACTGAATGAATAAATAAATATTCACAATTGATTTACATTGCTTTTGTAACACGTAGAAAAGAGGGGATTCTTCCATAAATTGGTAGCATAACAATGTGACATGGAGAACTCTTTTTCTTCCAGCTTTTAACAGAAAATGCCCTGGACTGAAACTTGACCACTGACACTCAACCATTTTCAAAAAAAGAATGTAAGATGTTGAGTGTATTTTAGACAATTATTTCAAAGGTAAACTAAAAGCAAAATTGAAAACGTCAGCAAAGTAAAACATTTATTAATTGCCCTCACTTTGCCTGTTGCCACATCTTCAAAACAGAATATTTTTCTCACCTGAAAACAGACAAATCCCAAATCTGATCACTGCAATGAGTTTTAAATATTGGCCATCTTAATTTAATTTAATTTAATTAGGGACAGAGGGATTATCATTACGCCTAAATGTGCCAATTTAATTCGACTTCAAAACCAGCAAATTGCCTGGTGAATGACCTATTGCCCCTTTCAAATAAAACCACAGTTTAAGTTGCGACGTCACCCATAACGTTTATAGTGAAACACTGTTTAATGCTGAATACACTGTCCTTGTAGCAGTGAATCAGACGAAATCGGTTCACAACTTATCCCCCTTAGTAGGTACCCAGTAAATTATGTTATTATTTAGCAAAGGTCAAAGAACTCACAAGTCAGTGAGACAGAGCAAATAACGCAATACAGTTACCAAGAACAGTGTTCATCAGGATAGCACGCAAATACACCATGGATCTACGCATCGGGTTATCGTGCAAAGCCAAACCAGATTGATTGCCACAACACACATAAGCATGATCCAAAGTCATTCAAAGATACTGTGGACATAAAACTAACTATATTTTCATTTTTTTGAAACCTAAATATATTCAACCAAAATTACAAGTTTCGATTTTTGCACAATTCATTAACATTAGTCAGTTACATATAGTAGAAGAAGAATTTTCAAATCACAAATAGCTGTCAAAGCATAGTGTTATGAAAATCATTAAAATGTGTACAAATATATCTACCTGATTTCCGATATGCCGTTGCTTTGAAGCTTAAAACGTTTTGAAATAAATTCTTTTAATTTTATAACTCGACCACAACGTATCGTTTTTTTAAAATCACTTTGAAACGAATATTTAATACCATTTGAATTGCTAGTGTGCTTTGTCCGCTAAAGCTCCATCCTTCGCAGCGAATAGAGATAGCGGTACCCCCGGAACTTCCGGTCCGATTTCACAACCTCTTCGCAAGAAACAGACGCTACCGAAAAACATTGGTTCCTATTGTAATCCATCACTCTTTGCTGGGCTGTATTTCTGTGAGGCTTCAAATCTTCAAAGACAACAAAGCAGAAATTTAAAAAAATAGAGATCAATTAAATATCTCCAAAATGTAATGCACAAGTAAATATTGTGAACTGCCAATGAAAATGCACAGGTGTAGTGTGTCAGACCAGGTGCTTATGTCTTAGTGGAGCTTTAAAGTTATTTTAATGTAACAATACCAGTTTGTCCTTTGCATATGACTACAGTTTGAGCTAATATGTCTCCTGTAGAGTCTGGATTAATCCCACTATTTCAGTTCCAGATCAGTTCCCTATTCAAATCAATACCAGATTCAATTTCAGTTTCTTCATTTGTAATTCCGGCTAAGATAAATTTACCTAGTTCCAGCCAAATATATATTCAATTCCTAATTAATGTTGTCATTCCACATATAATCCTACCTTCAATCCCATGAAAGTTTATATTGAAATGCCAGCAACCATTTCGCCCTGCAACTCACAGCTGGTGACCCACTGAAGTTAAGCAAGTGTGAGACCAATCAGTCCCTGGATGAGAGACCGCCTGGGAAAAACTAAAGGTTGCTGCTGGAAGTGGTGTAAGTGTGGCCAACAGGTGTTCTGTGTGGGTCCTAATGCCCCAGTACATTGATGGGAACATTATACTGTAAAAAGGCACCATCCTTTGGATGAGATGTAAAACCGAGATCCTGACACTCTGTGGTCATTAAATATCCCAGGGCATTCTTTGAAAAGAGTAGGGGTGTAACCACGCCAAATTTCCCATTGACCTTAACTAATAATTCTAATAATCTTCATCTATGAATTGGCTTCATCACTCTGTTCTCCTCCCCACTAATAGCTGATGTGTGGTGAGCGTTCTGGCGCACTATGGCTGCCGTCGCATCATCCAGTTGGATGCTGCACATTGGTGGTGGTGGAGGGGAGTCCCCATTACCTGTAAAGCGCTTTGAGTGGAGTGTCCAGAAAAAGCGCTATATAAGTGTAGGCAATTGTTATAATTATAATTATTATATAGAGATGTTTTTCTTTTAAATAAAGTTAATTTTAATAGAAAAAAATTCAGTATGTCCAGAAACTTGAACACCCGGAGGAAATTAATTTAGATTCAAAATACACTATTCATCCTGAGGGGGCAATTTAAGCAACAAGCAGTGCAACATGCAACACAAAACAAATAGAACAACATTACTAAGAAGAAAAATATAGATGCATAAAAAACAGCAAATGGACCATAAAAAAGTAACAGTGTGTAATAGTTAAGTATTAAAGGACATCAACATATGTAGAGGGGGCTCTAGCCAATAATCATCATATTGATAACATGTTTACATTCATTGTTTGCAATCCTGATGGTATCTCAAAAGAGCTACATTTCCTTTTTGTCTTGCACTATGGACAGTGAAAACATCTTCCTGAAGGAAAAAGTTCAAAAGAGTGATGAAGGACATGAGATGGGATTTCAGTGATGGCATAGGCCTTCCTCAGGATCTGCTGGGGATAAAGCTGTGTTAGGGGTCTTAAAGGCTCACCAATCATTTTATTTCAACATTTTGAAGATGATTTTTGTCCTTCTGACTGAGGGAAGTGAACCATAAGATAATAGTCTTAAATAAGTTCAATAAAGTACATTTCATAAAAGAGCTATAAAATGTTGATAGAATTATTTTTTGGACTCCAAAAGAACTCAGTTTTCTCAGACCACATAAGCGGTGCTGGGATTTCTTCATAATGACATCAGTGTTCTTGGTGAATATAAGTTTATCCTCAAACCTAGATATTTGTAACTGCGAACTGTATCATTATCATGAATTATTTTGCTTCGTTTTTCAACAATGATTTCTTTGCTTTGTGGCACATACTGTATATCTCAAGGTAAGCAGTATCACACCAGTTGACAAATTCTTCCAGAATAATACACTATCATCATCAAACTTAAAAATGATTTTCATGTCTAGCTGAAGAAGTTTTTTCGGTTCTAAATGTTTATAAAGAACATCTATAAGAACAATTTTAGCATCGTCTACTTCTCTTCCAGAATGGTAGGCAAACAAGAAGGGGCCAAGATCTGACACAATTGCAGCCACAGTAAATGACTTGATTATTTTTTCAAGAGTCTTCAACACTGTCAGAGATATTGGCCCCTAGTCGTTGAAGGCTTTAGGTCTATTCTTTTCAGGAACAGTTACAACTGTAGAGTGCTTCAAAACAACTGGAACAGTGCCATTGTCTAAAGAGAGCTGGAATAGGTTTTGAACAACTCTACTAAGTTCTTTAGCACAATACTTAAGTGTTCTGCCACGTATTCCATCTGGACCTGCTGCCTTGTTGACCTGCCTTATTTTTAATGGTTTTCAACCATACATGTTGATACTTGCAGTATTTTTCCTGGAGTAAGGAGCTGTTGGAGATCACTAAATTGAGTGGAAGAATTATAATTTTCAAAATGAATAGAAAACATATATAACTTGTCAGGTAAATTCATCCACTAAGATGAATTTGTGGCCCTCACTGATATTCACTGCAGCCATTGTTTTAATCTCCTGCCAGGCAGTATGGAGATTGCCTTACTTAAATGTCTCCTCTACTTTATTTTTATAAATCATTTTGCTTGCCACATTGCATGTTTAAGTTCTTTATTTACTTGTTTTCTTTTTTGTGTGTGATCCAGAGTAGTATAACTTCTTCTTTTTATTTAGAATATTCTTAAGCTCTTTGGTGACCCAAGACTTATTTTTTGAATAGTGATGCTCTTAGAGGGGATTTTTTTTATCAACATAGAATATAATGTGTGACAAAATCATGTCAACTTGTCCATTGAGATCAGAGCATGGTGCAATAAGAACGTCCCAATTGGTGCAGTCAAGGCAGCCTTTCATGGTGTCAGTGCTTGCCTCTGACAATTCTTTAACAGTTTTCACAACTGCCTCTGTGTGCTTAACCCCTGGCTTTTAGGCAGGAGCAAGCAGGATGATATTATTGTCAGCAGCACCTAGGCCAGGGAGAGAGAATGACCTTTATTCTCATGGGAGACAGCTGTAGCACCTGTCACAAATTTGTTTATGGTGTGTATCACAGTTGAAAACACTTTCCAAAGAGCAAAGATTAAAATCACCTAAAGAAAACTTAGGGGTATAAGCAGAGACAGAATCCAATTTATTAATGACACTGGTGTGAGGATGTATAAACACTACCACAAAAAAAGTTGAGGGAATTCAAGTGCTAAATATCATGGGTAGAGAGAGACAGCCAAAGGCTCTAAATATGATATACAGAACTGCTCTCACACTACTAGTTTTACACAACCTCTGATGTAACGCATTTCACACGCACTCATATTCCTACACGTACACATTCCACTCACACTCACATACCCACGCGCACCAGCTTTCCTATCACTTTTCTCTGCCATCACTATTGTAGTTCTCTTTCCCCTCTTCCTTGCTCACTATTGTGGTTAGTCTCCCTGAGCTCCTGTGGTGCATCTAGTTACTCTCATGGATTGTTTACTGACTTTTGCCTGTTTCTTGGTTATCGCTCTCGCCTTTCAGATTTGGATTTGCTGTCTAGCTTCTTCTGCTTTTTTGACTTATTGCTCGTTTTCTGGATTTTGGATACTTGCTTAGTGTCTTGGACTTCTGGCCATTGTTTGTGGCTTCCCTTTTTTAGCCCTGCACAGGGCCTATTTTCTTTTCCTTTTTCGTGATATCTGATTAACATAAAGACAGACCCCACCCCCTATGTTCCCTATAAACTGTGCACGTGCACACAGGAAACTGAACTGCGCACCAAAAAAGTAATACAAATAAAAACGATCGTCAGTTGAAAAATGCAAAATTGACCACATGAGACTAGCTGCAAGAGGCCCAACTTGGCTGTGTACATTATTATTGCTACATGATAATTGATATCTTTGCTTTCGTAGTCCCGTACCTCATTGCTCATACTCACTCGACACTCAGTCCCTATAGGAACAAGTAATAGGTTTATTCCATGCTGAAAAAAGAAGAAAGAAAACACAAAGTTTCGTCCGTGGAGCCTTCTTCGGGTGTCGGGTGTCTCTATGGCTGGGCTCGTTGAATCGCTGTCCCCGTCTTTTGGATCTTTAACCTTAACAAACAGCCTTTTCAGGTTTGCACAGTGTGCATCATTGTATGTTGATATCATAGAAACGTGGACTAATTGTTTTCAATTTTTTAATTTTATTACTCACATAAGTTTATTTTATCATATAAAAATATTGATTTACTATGTTGAAAGAGGAGAAGAGCATTAAGCGCAAAAGAACTGCAAGTTTATTTAAAGTGGAATGGCTTGACGAAATGGTAGAAACTGCTACTCTGAAAAGTCGTAATTTGATACATGTTCCATTGCGAGAAATATTTGTTTGCTTAAAAAAATGGTGTTATATGTTTGTATTGCTGTGATGCGAAAGTTGCAGGAGAATTTGCTAGTAAAAAGAGGTGGGACGATGTTTGGAAACTTTAAAGCATCATCTCACAAACAAATCACATGTCAACGGTGTACAAAAACTCAAGACACCAAAATCCTTCACTACCAGATACAGGGCTGCTGCGCATCCTGCGTGAAAGTACAGATAGGTCAGGGGTGTCAAACTCTTTTTTAAGGGGGGCCAAACTAAAAACATTTAATCATGTCGCAGGTCACACATGCAGAGATAAATACTGAATAGAGTTTTATCATACATTTTTCCACATATGCAAGTGAATGTAGCCTATAAAAACAAAATATTGTTTCAGTATTCCTCTATTTAAGAATATGGTTTAGAATTTAACACCTGAAGAAGATTCCACGGCTGAAACGTTGTGTTTTCTTTATTCTCTTTTCAGCATGGAATTAACCTATTGTTCCTTTGCAGCCTACG